CTGTCCCATTGGCTTTGATCATGAATTGTACTGCTCATGTGACTTGCTCAATGCTTTTAGATACTTTGAAGCAATATAAAACACAGAATAGGAAATGGTTCATTTTATTCTAAAATGGTTAAATAAGAGAAGATCTTCTACAAACTTTTTTTAAAATGCAATATCACAGTTACCGCTTTCTACAAAATACTTGGTAGAAAACAATAGTGGGTTTTAAAAAAAAAAAAAAAAAAAAATCAATCTTCTTTCATTGTTTGGTTTATGGTTTTTTTTCCAGATCAAAAATTTAACTGTTGCTTATAATTAATCTACATGATACTTTAAAACATTGACATACTGTGATTCCAAACACAAAAGGCATGAATATAGGCACATGTAATACATTAATAAAGCACATGAAATCACTTTATATGTCCATCTCCCTTGAGAAAAATCTTGTTTGTTTCTCAAAAAAAAAAAAAAAGGGAAGAAAAAAGCTGTAATACTAGTGACCATGCCATACATGCAGGTAATATTTCTACTTTCTTTTCATTAATAAAGACAGCCATTGCAGGAGATAGTCAGGCAAATTACTTATTAGAGGGGTAACTGGATGTATTCACATATTCAGATCCTGTAAGATGGCAAATCCCAGGTTGAAAGCTTCCATTAAAAAAAGGATCATTGATCAGCTCCTCTGTGGGTGAACCTAGAAATTCATCAATAAAGGCACTTGGCAGACCTCAGCTATAAGAGTAGTACATGAAAGAGCTCATTTGACAAAAGCCAGGTCCTATGACCTATAGGGACCTTCAGTCCCATGAACTATAGCTGTAACTCACACAGGAGAGCAGAGTGGACAAAGTTAACAGTGACATGCAAACCATGGCACAACATACAGAAACACTCTTTAAAACTTTAAAATCTTCAAAATTTCAGAAATCCTTTCATGGCAGCTCCCATACCTCATTTTCTCCTTACACAGTGCTTGCCTCCCAGGCAAGGTATACCCATGGACTGAAGCAAACAGCCATCTACCCCTGAAGCACCCAGCCCTTACCCCCTGAAACATGCAGCATCTTACTTCATACAAAAGCTGTGAATACCAGTACTGAAAATATTCATGTTGCACATTTGGGCTGAACTTATACCTACAGATGTTTTCCATCCTATGCCTAAATTAACATACAGTCAGACCTAAATCTCAGCTGGAAGGCAACAAAGAACGTCTTAAACCAGTCCACATCTGTATAAAAGAGAGTATTCTCTGCCCTGCTTGTGTGTGGAGTTAACATTAACTAGCTTAAAACAATGGTGGAGGAATGGCCTTTTGCTCCTTAGGACTTCTAAACAAGCAGCCAGGAGAGTGACCTATTTAGATAGTCCAGGCTTGAAAACAAGAATAAACCTGTCATTGCAAACACCCATTATTAGCCTCCAAGTTATTAGACATAAGAGATGACAAATTTACGATGCTCTCAATGATCTGCTCTGAGATGGAAACGAGGGAGAAAGACAGTAAGAAGGGCTGTGCTTGAAAACCTGCTATGTGAATCAGGGCTCCAGAAATTAGCATGACAATGTCTGCCTTCCCTAAGAACCATAAGTGCTTTAGTACATTGCCGCACAGTACTTTGCAGGCAGGCCCAGGCTTGCTTCGCGCATGATCCGAGCCAGGTCAGACCCAGGCTGGCTCTGAACCAGAAGACATGCAGCTGGGCTGGAGCTGTGCTGAGTCTAAAGTAAAACATCCCTGTCCCTTCCCTTAGCACAGCTTGTTAACTTGGACCCAGAACTGCACACAGCTGTGGTTCAGATTGGGCTTGTGTCCACCTGCTGTACCAGCAAAGACCTGGGCCCCCTGGAAGCGACCCTCTGCCACTTGCCTGCTACATCGCTAGCTCTGCGCAGCACTAGAGTAACGCTGACTTGAAAAGGCTCAGTGAAATTAATTGCCAACAGAACTCAAGTTACAGAGTCCAAAAGGAAATACACGAATGACTTTGTTGATTATGATCACAGTTCCGGTACATTTTTGTAATGAATTAATGAAAGATTAACTTCAGCAGGGTCAGATAGTCTTATAGCTGCTAATTCTGTTTTGCTTATGAGGTATTTTGTTCCTGCTAGGCTCAATCGGTTGTATTGAGCAACATTAATACTGTTCTGTATGCTTAAATTAATAGAATATTCAAGTAAAAACATTGTTTTGTATTTTTATAAATAGATTCTGATAGAAATCGCTAAAAAGAATTTATTTTTAAAAGAGAAAAAATAAGTGATTCAAAAATCCCACAGAAGGAAGACACAAACACTTTAAGGGTCATTTTGAACTAAGTGGACTTGTTCTGAAAACATTCAAGTCTTAACTTTTGACCATCATTTTGTTTCAAGGCAAAAACATCTGTAGAAGCTAAATTCTGCATTCTTACTGGTGAAAAACTAGTCATTTATTTCTGAAGAAACTTCACAGAAACATTTAAATTGTTCCTGGAAGAACACAAGGAGAGTCACACTGGTTCAGGCTAAAGATTGACTTAATGAAATCTGTTGATGGGGAAAGCAAGTTCATGAGCAATTCATTTTGTCCTGTCTTACCAGGACGCTATTGGCATTGCCAAAACAGAAGATTTAGTGGCATGAGGTTCACATGCTGCTCAAAATACACAGAATTTGAAGACAAAGAGAGGAAGGGAGATTGACAATTTATTATGCACATCTAAATGAAAAAGGTTTAAAAACTGATTATATCAGAATATTTTCCTAAGGACAAGGCACAACCCTAGCATTATTCTTATGGACAAATTTAAACATCTTGAGTCAAATGCCTGAAATAATAAAAGTTGGACAAACTTCTTCTGAAAAATAGAGCCAAATCCTTTTTGTTGAAAGCACTTCTCAAGTCATCAGTATGATCTTAAGGAGACTTGAATTTCAGAAGCTTTATAAGATCAAGCCTGAAATTTTTAGGGGTTGGGGAAAAAAAGGTGGAAAACCATACCATTCAATAGTAACAATAATAACTCTTATATTCAATAATAACTATACTGCCAGGAACATGGTTTATAATGTATATAATTTGACTAAAGAAATGTCAAAACACTGGCTTCTACTTTAAAATACCACCTTGTGTTGTACAGTAAAAACTTTATACCAAAAGTGCATTTTTTTCTTTTATTTTTAAGCAGCCTAATGAGAAAATTATCTTTCTTTAGGTGTGATAAATACCAGAGCAAACTGTACATTATATAAACAGATTCTCTCTGTCTTCATATATGCAGATCAAAATTTTTGAAAGATACACTTCCATGAAGAAGTTAACAGACTCAGTAGATGGTTAATCAGCTAAGATTTAATGGTCTACGATATCAGGAGTGGAGAATCAAGATACTCAGTATTAACTTCCAGTCTTAAAAAAAAAAACCACACAAAAAAAAACCCCACAACAAACTTCATAAGCTGAATTGTACGTAGGAACTGTATTCATATATTTGCCATCAAGAGCTAAATAGTAGTAATTTACCCTTCTTATTAAAAAGGCTTCATCATCATCCAAATTAAGGTTCCAAACATGCATCTACTTATCTTTTTCTGTGAGAGATTTGGGCATTGTCTGGCACCTGACACATTTCTTTGATGAGGTAATTCTCATTGTAATCAATTAACTTCTCAGAACTTAGTGGTTTTCTTTCCTTTTTTAATAAAAAAGGCATTTTAAATAGGTTTAATCCCAGTCTTCAAAAAACATCACTATAGCTAGCTGTCATAAAAGCATGAACATTAGCATCATGTGCAGTATCAGCCGCACCTATGCTGTATACATGCTCTGTATTACTCACTGCTACATTCTTTCAAAGATCACTTCAAGCTGCTTGCCGCTACATCACTCGGATGATCACTCAGCCTATTAACTAACCACCAGATCCTTGTCAAAAGTCACTGTTTTCTCTGAACTTTCCCATTCGCATGTACTGCATTCTTTGTTCCTTTGCACATGACCTTGCATACGGTTGCATGAGAATGATTTTTTTTTTTTTAGAGAACACAGTCTATAAAATGCTGTGAGAAGACTGTTCTTTGACACAGAACTGATGCAGTGATAGCTGATATTTTTCTGAGCAATGATTTTGCATTTACTCCTAAGTCTGATGAAACTGTCAAATGGCACCAGACTTATTGCCATTTTCCATAAAATGCCACAGGAACTGCTGTTCTAGATCTATTATTAAGTTCTTAATCCCTTTGACATATGCCACCCTCATGCTGCCCAGTGCTAAGTTTTAGTTAGATTGCAGGTCAGTTTTTAACAGTATGTGGATTGCATCCAACCAGCTACTTTTATTATTACACGTGATGTCATTTGTTTAAGATCTATTTTCTACAATATATTCTTCATACAAATTCTTTAGAAATGAAGTAACTATTATACATAGGCACTACAGAAATCCGTAGTTAACTGAAGAGTTAGCTATATTAGCCATATTTCTGTGCTTCCTAACCTAGCAACATACCTGTAGGTCCAGATCACCTTTCAGCCTTTCAGGGAAGCTGTGTCATGAATGTGTACTCATGGACCAATTCTTTAGAAATGAAGTAACTATTATACATAGGCACTACAGAAATCTGTAGCTAACTAGAAGAGTTAGCTATATTAGCCATATTTCTGTGCTTCCTAACCTAGCAACATACCTGTAGGTCCAGATCACCTTTCAGCCTTTCAGGGAAGCTGTATCATGAATGTGTACTCATGGACCAAGTAGCACTTGTTACCTGTTACTTTAATAATCACCCATAACTCTATAATGCTAAACTTTCCAAGATATTCAGAACAATCAGTGACTCAGGATAAACAATCTCAGCCTGATCATTTGTATCACTGGTGTCTTTCACAATTACTCAGGTTGCCTTTGGAACAGAGTGCAGAAAGGGAAGAGAATTTGATATTATCTGCACTATAAATTCACATATAAGCCCATATGGAACAGCAATAAAATGAAGCAACCTCAATAAATCATCCTTACCGATTCAATGCAAAAGCATAATGAAATTTAATGTTGTGTTGATCAGCCAGATCACAGGTAGGAAGCATTTCTAGTGTTTCCACCAGCTTCACCATAGCATGATAGTCCTGGTAGGAATTTAAAAAAAAAAAAAAAAAAAAAGAAACTGAAAGCAGAGGAAAACATCACTAATCTAAATGTATCATGACTGCTAGACAGTATCTCAGGTGACTGTTCCTGGAAGAGTCAGTGAAACAGCCACAAACTCTGTGTGAGGAATTAAAGAGGGATTTTGTCTACCTATGTCAGTACTTGCCTCTTCAGTGCCTTCGCAGTGCCACTACCCAAATTACTGAATCCCTCTGGCCGGTTTAATCAATTACACTCTCAGCACCAGGAAGGAGAGGTGATGAGTCTGGCTCTTTCAGGCCTTATTAAGGACTTCTGATAAATTACTTCATCAGATCATCACAGACTCAAGCACAGTTCATTCTGCAGCATGTCAGCTGTCTGCGCATTCATTTTGGTTTCTCAGGGGTAACCCACATATACATTGCTGAAGAGGCCAGTTTACTGACATCACAAATGGCCTCACATTACTCAACTTGTTTGTTCAAAACATGTTTTGAGATTATTACATTTCTCAAAGGAGAAGACCTTTCAAAAAGAATGAAAATGATCACCAGAGGCGATCAAAATGAAGTTGGATAAAGTGCTGCAGGAAAATATGCATCTCAGAATGGAAAGTTGGGTAATGTAGGACGATGTGGTCACCCACTGCTCTCATGACCCATTTATACTTATGAAATAACCAGCTTAGATCCTGATGGAAAAAAATTTCCATAGAATGGTTGGAAGTATATTTTAAAAGGCATGTCAAACACACAGACTGGCAGTTTGAAAATACAGTACACAGGCTGTGTTTTACCAAAAGTAGAACTTATTTAAAAAATAAAATCAAGAAAAAAGGTGAAGTTATATTTTAAAAGCAAATTGATTTTTTTTGAATGATAGTTCTCAGCTTGGGCATCTCTGGCCAATACAATGGTCACAAAAAAATGCATTTCCTTCATTTCTAAGTATGTCTGACTTTGGAGGTGAAGGAGGAAAGGGAGGGAAGGGAAAAGCAAGCATCTTGCTTCGGTATGGAATGCTTTCGTTTAATTATTTTTTAAGGAGGTCAAAAATTACTAAAAACAAAGGAGGAGACCTCAGGAAGTCACCTAATGTGTATCTCTTGTTCATACGCAGAATAAACAGGAGTCTAAAGCTCCTTAAGTTGCCCAACAGACAAGTCAAACTGTTAAACAATGCAACAATTTAGTGTCAGCTTTGAATCACCGTTTAACAAACAATGAAACATAAAAAAACAAACAAGAGCCAAAATGCCATAGTAAAATAATCTTCCTTAGTCTTTAGGAACATACCTGAATATCTCTGTAAGAAAGAAGCAGGTTTATGACAATGTCAGAAGTCAGCACTTCAGTATTATCCATACGAAGCTTAATCCTGGCCAGCTCCTTAGCCAGTTCATCTCCTTGATACTTCTCTCTAGCTTTTCTAATATCATTTAGCAGTGTTTCTTTATAATAGGCACTGAAGAAATAAGAGATAGACACATGGGAAGAAGACTGTTAGATATTTGTTACGAAGCATGGTTATATTTCTAATAAAAAGTACCATTTCCTCAGAGTGAGGTGCACATCAAATGTTTCCACATTTTTCATTAACTCATTACACATATTCCACCTTGCCCCACCTCTGACTGTGAGGCTATGTATCAACATAGATACATATGTGGTTTAGAACCAAGATTGTGAGATAGTTTTATCAACACAGTAAAAGCGGGGCATTTCTTTGCCCCATTACTGACCATGACAGATGTGGTACTTTGTATCCTAAAGGTGGCAGCAACTGGATAATGAAGTGACACAGAGACAAAAGACCAGTGTTATGTAAAGAGCAGGTACATCACAAAAGGAGGAAAGAGGCATTCAAACACAAAAACTAAAAGAAAAACAAGCCACCAAAAGCCGATTGAGTTGCAATCTGTTTGATGAACATAAGACATAATGTGGGCCGGACCTATGTAAGATCCCCCAGCAAGTGCATCTTATTTACACTAACACCAATGCACGATGCAACACCAGAGCTTTTGCAGAATACAAAATCACATATACATTATCAGTATGACAGTTATAAACGACCTGGACAGGCTACTTAGAGGTAACTTTATCTGGAGCAGCTTATGGAGTCTATAGTTTGGAAGTTGGCAGATGTTAGCTGACAGATACTCAAGTGCACACAATGCCTTTTTTGTTTACAAATGAATATTCCAAAGTATTCAACTTTGCTTAGCATAAGCCCTACACATAGCAAAGAAAACTAAGTTGTCTGTGTAATACACATTATATCTTAACATATAATGTGTAAGATATGTTCTTAATGCAAAACATTATAGGTTAGGAGGTTAGGCCTAATTCACCATGGATTTCCAATCTCAGGTTTCTATCCAGCAATGCCTTCTACCAGGCTAATGATAATTAGTCCTTCTTGTGCTAATCAAACCAAAGGGAGATACAGGGTAATGTTTTTCAAAAGTATCCAAATGACTTAGGAATGAGAGTCTCCCTTTCAATAATGATGCAACACTTAACTTCTTCAAACTTATTTAAGCTTTTGGTGGGAATGGGGGATCATCTAGCTACACGTTCCTCTTCACAAGCATCTACCACAACAGTATCTAATTCTGCACCTGTACAAAAGCTGTCTTCAGGCACTTCAGCCTGAAAATGGGAGAGAGAAAAAGAGGCTTTACTGTAGGACTTCACAACGCAATTATCAAACCAAAATCACCCAAAACCCTGTGTCAGAGACAAAGTATACAGGTAGCTTTGGACAGCTGGTGCACAGAGCATCACTTCACAATGACACAAACGCTAAGCAACATCAAAATTTACTACTACCAGGACCAACTGTGCTACTAGTTTCAAGAGTCTGCACTGCTGAGCATAGCTCCCCTGTATGCTGACTAACTTTACTGAGTTTCTGCCAATCTTCTTGTCCCTTTCCTCAAAGCGGGCCTGTGGTGCCTGCATGTAGCCTCCCTTCCAGCACTGTTTTGGACAAGCAGGAGGCAGCTTGCGCTACTTCAAGCCAGCAATATCCAAGCTGCTGCCCAGCAAAGTGCCAGAGAATAGCAGACCTGCCACAGATGGCGGTGTAAGGGACAAGGTGTGTGTGGGCAGGGTCATCTGTGGGATCCTAAGACTGGGACCAGATAAGAAAAGGAATTTTTTAGGCTAGCCTTTCACTGGGGTGGGGTGGCAACGGGGAAAGAGAAAGAAATCCAAGGGTCTTCAGTGTTACCTCATGTTTCAGACACTAGGG